ACTCGGCCATGCGGGAACAATACATGCGAACCGGAGAGGGCTTCCTGCTCGTCTACTCGATAACCGACAGGCAGAGCTTCGAGGAGATTATGACATTCCAGCAACAGATCCTCCGGGTCAAGGACAAGGACTACTTCCCCATGATTGTCGTGGGCAACAAGTGCGATCTCGACGGAGAGAGGCAGGTGTCAACAGAAGGTATGTCATGTCACATGTCTCGCTAGACGTGTCTGTTTTCGCTGCCCAGACGTATGCGCTAACCCCCGAGCTCACTTCAGAGGGCCAAAATCTCTCGAGACAATTCGGCTGCAAATTCATCGAGACATCCGCAAAGTCACGCATCAACGTCGACAACGCCTTCTACGACATCGTACGGGAAATCCGCAGATACAACAAGGAAATGTCATCATACCCCGGCCAACCTGGCGACCGTCAATCAAACGGTGTTGGCAAGATGAACATAGACGAAGACAACGAAAAGAGCGGCTGCTGCGGATGTGTAGTCATGTGAAGGGGGAAGCATTGTTGGTTGGGCTTATGACACGTCGCCAATCTTGGTTGTGGAAGAGGAGGAAGAACAAGGAAGAAAGAACGAGAGAGAGAGAGAGAGAGAAATGCTTCTGTTGTTGTTCGGTGCCATCATCTCGCACTGTCGCATACGTTTCCCACCCGACTCTGACAGCGCAAGAGATACGAATGGAATCCACACAAACAAACTTGATACCTTTACTACCACGTACTGTCGGTTTAACTCACATATTCGAGCGGTCAACCGGGAACCGATCCTTCACTTCTTCGAAACCTCCTGTTTGGTTTTACATTTATCTGGGGCTCCTTTTCCTGGTGTTGAACACGGTCTTCTCTTGGGCGCGTCTCCTTCTTCTTCTTCTACTACCATTACAAGCTGGGAAACTAGGTCTGTTTTTCTTTGCTTACCGCGGTTCTGCAGCTTGTCGCCGCCGCTACTCTAGACGTCCATTTTCATCTCATGGCATTTGGTAAATTGTATTTCAACGTCTTTTCATCTGTCTGGTCTAGTCACACTCGAGAGGGATATACAGCATGCCATGGTTGGGCTCGGGGTCCGGTGAAGGGGCGGTATGTATGCATGGAAGAGGTCGAAAAATCTCATTTCAATCTTATTCCATCTATCGGCTTTTTTCTCTGCCGAGATTCTTTTTTTTTTGGTGTTCCTACCTTCTATGAACATAATTCCTAGTCCGCGTTTCACTTACCATTTTGGGTTACTTTGAAGTGATGTACTCTGTACTCGATTTGCATTCATGTTACCTTTTAGGTCCGAAAGCTCCCAGTCCCGTTCCTACCCGCCCGCACTTTCGTCTCTGCCTTGTCGCTCCCCTCCCCCTTGGTTACAGAGCTGCGGAATGACAACCAGGTTGATCGCTTCGCCTGCGGCCCTGCCCTCGACACGGATGCGGCAGTTGATGTGCGCCCGCCTGCCCTCGTCCCATATCCATCAACCAATACAAGACTAACTAGGTGGACGTATTATCGTATATCGTATATCGCATATTGTATATCGCGTATCGCATAAAATATCCCGATAACCCGTGTAATTACCCGTATCATGGATGTTCAATGTGACAAGGCCATCTCTGCGACCAGGTCTGCACATGGGGTGGGGATGTTGTGGCGTTGTATGGCGTGGCGTGGTGTAACATGGCCGGACGTATATGTATATATTTTGTATGTACGGATAGATACATGTATGTATGTATGTATGTACCTCGGCTCTCTTCCATTATTCTTAATTATTGATTATCAATCACTTAGTTAGTTAGCTAGTTAGTTAGGATAGGTAATTAGGATAGCTATGGATGTAACCCGGGGTTTTTCGTTGTACATGTACATACATACACATGTGTATTTGTGTATGTATATATATAGGTATTAGGTACCATACCGAACATACTAAACCAAACCAAACCAAAGCGACCTATGTACCATATCATGTACCTACTCGCTCGCTACTCGATATTCAAGGTTTGTTTGTACATACAAGTGGGTTACTGTAGATTTGCGGCACCGGAAATCTTTCTTTTCACGTCTTGGGTACATTTTCTTTGGAACTTTGTTTCTTTTTCTAGGAAGAGAGACGGACACTCGGTTATATGTACATGTACATGTACATACATACAGTACGTAACAAGATGAGGGTTTGTTTTTCGGTTGGAAAAACTAGGTTTTTGTTCTACATAGGGGTAGGGATAGGGACTTACTAATTCACTAATTCACTAACTAACCAACTGCCGCGTTTTCCCTCACTTTGATTGAGCACTTAATCATTACTTGACGAGGGTGGTGATACGTACAGACATACATACATACGTCACTGGCACGGCCCATTGGTAAATGATTAACTGTTTAATGATCGGCTGGCTTGCTTCCTTGGTCCGCTTCTTGTCCTTCTTCTTCTTCTTCTTCTTCTTCTTCTTCTTCTTCTCTTTCTCCACTCTTGAATTTAGTGTCAAGTATCGCTCCTCTCTGACTGACTGACTAACTGACTAACTGACTGACTAACCAACCAACTGACTCAATATGCCTGTCTGTATACACGCCAAAAACAAAAACAAAAACAAAAACAATACAAGCTTTTTCTTCTTCTCCTTCTCTCTCTTCCATATAAAAAAGACGAGGAAAAATAAATAAAAAATAAAAGGTTAATATGTACATTACATTACATTACATTATAATATAACAGGGTTCGTGGTTCTAACTGTATGTGTAAGAAGGCTTGTTATTTAAAACTGTCCCACATACACACACAGTATGTATTACAAGTATGTAATATTAAAGCGTCGTCATTATACATCGTAGTGGTTGTTGTTGTTGAATTATAGTTCTACATACTACATACAAGGGGGGGAGGCGGGGGGGCGCTAATTAATAAGAGTCCCAGAAGTCCGGTTTGCCTGCCATGATGATGTCTGCGCTCTACATACTAATTAGTTGCAGCGAACCCATTTCCCTTTTTTTTCTTTCTTTCTTTCTTTCTTTCTTTCTTTGCCGTCTTGGGGATGGAATAATTAATTAATTAGTTAATCAATTAATCAATTAATTATTGCAAGTGGATCCCTCTATTTTGCATGCAAGGTCTGAGGAGATAGATATAGGGGGGCCGGGGGCGGTAAACAAGATGTCGTGTTGAACTAGTATGTAACTCACCTGTATGTATTGTATGTAATGTACATATGTACTTGTAGTAGAGAGAGAGAGAGAGAGAGAGAGGCAGTGAGACGGAATAATTACAATATTCGATAATCATGCTAATTAATCAATTACCCTAGATATATTTATTATTATTATTATTAGTCAAACTTGTGTCATGCACAAGTCCTTTTTCTTCTTCGCCATTCGCCTTCGCCTTCGCCTTCTCTTCTTTATCCCACTCCTTCTGCTCGGCCATGAACCGCGCTTTCTTGTCGATATATCCCTCGTGCTTCCTCGCCTTTTCCCAGACGTCGCGAAAGATGAGCGAGGCTTCCAACTTTTCGCTCGCTCCTGGATGCGTGTCGCTCTTCTCTAGCTCTTCTCCAGTGACCTTGTCGTATTTCCTGCCACCGGCGTGATTTGCATATCGTTTCGCGCGCGTCATTCCCTACATAGTCCCCCGCGTGCGTCCCCAGTCAGCAAAGCAAAGCAAAGCAAAGCAAAGCAAAGCAAAGCAAAGCAAAGCAAAACAAAGCAAAACAAAACAAAACAAAACAAAACAAAACAAAACAAAACAAAACAAAACAAAACAAAACAAAATAAAACAACAGTTGCCGTGTTTCCCCTCAAACACTCCAACACCATGTCTCATCGCAGGCCCTCTCTCCGAAGAGATAGATATATCTATGTACATATGTAACCACGGCCATGATCATCAAACTCACCATCTGCAAGAACTTCCGGCACATGTCCATGCCCACGAAATCGTCATCTGCGTCGTACGTCTCGAATCTTTCGTATATCTGCTTCGAGCTTCCACGTGCCATGGCGGCTGTCTTGAAGCGCCATAGTGGCAAGATGGAGGATTTATACGGCTCGAATGTTAGTACGCCTTGTTCGCCACGACCAATTCGGTAGCTCATACGATGGGCTTTGGATGGGAAAGGGGGTGGGGAAATGGATTTGGGTTTTGGGTTTGGCGAGGGCATTGGTCGAGTTCTTCTTCTTGTTGTTATTGTTGTTGTTGTTGTTGTTGTTGTTGTTGTGGGTGGAGTAATAGTATCAGGTAAGTCCAGAATTGGACCAAGCAGTATCGTAATGATTATTAAAAAGAGGAGATGTGGAACGGAAACGATCATGTTTGGGGTCCAAAGAAACGTCTGATGCAACTTGTTTCTTTCGATGACGTAGTCTACAACGTCTCGCATTTCTCCGTAATGAAACGACAACGAAGAATTGCCCAAGGTAAAACGTATCGTTGTATCAATTTACATAGGCGAGACTGAGCGGAGCACGTCTTCAACCACGAGCCAGCAAGACTCGAACATGATCAATTATATGTATATCCCTGGCCTGGGTGAGGTAATATGCAGTTGGGGAGTTGCCCCTAACTTTGGCTAGTTCTTTGAATGACGTTGATGAGTCGTTCCCTCAGACGAGTTCAGGCATGCATGTGGCGGCAGAAGAGCGCAGTGAAGCTGTAATACGAAACCAGCGGATTCGAAAAGAACATGTCAATAACGGTGACGATACTATAAGAAATGATATTCTTCTCATTGTACGAGCCGGTTCGAGGGTGACCAGCTCACTCACTCACTTCCTGATGCTACATAATGTCCTTGCCCCTCACACCTCCTGAGCGCCCCACGGGACCCACCACGCTTCCGAGCCGAACCGACGCATCTCCCCCCACAAACACGGCGCCCGCCACTTGCCACCACGTCTCCCTACGCGCTCTCACAACCGACAACTACGCAATATAATCTCGTTATTTCCACAGCTTCTCCAACTTCAAAGTCATCAAAAAAGACTCAAGTCATCAAATCAAAGGTTGTGTAGTGTAGTGGTCATCACTCCGGATTTTGATCTGCATCAAAATCGTTACACCTTTCCGGCGACCCCGGTTCGAACCCGGGCACGACCTGATTTCGATTTCTTTTTTTTTCCTTTTTTCTTTTTTGCCGTTTGCATCCTTCCTCGTGGTGGCTGGCTGGGCCGCTGGGGTAAGGAACGAACGAATGCGTGGCCTGTGCGTGTGTGTGTGTCTACAGAGTGTAACGTGATCAAATGGAGCAAGTGTATATTCGCTTTGCAGTTGCAGGTAGAGATGGATAAGTTATGGATGGTTCTCTATCTTTTTATTTGCATATGTAAAATGATACACGGTACGACTTTTATCAACTTCAAGAAGGCTCACGTGGCTCTAATATCCATCATCTTTTGGTCATATCGAAATCGCGGAGAACAAGGTAGGTAGGTGGTATACATAAATGCAGTTCTATCACATGTACGACAAACAGGACTATTGTAGACAATCAACAGAGTCAATTCACATCTATTACAACGGGCTAACTCCGTTCAACTCCAAATGTCCTGGTTCTCTGCTTTTGCCTGCTGGATCGCAAGCCACAAACTGAGCGCTGCCAAGCCTCCCATGATTCCGACGGCCAATACAGCTACCGAGAAGGGAATCACAGTCGGCCTTGCGACCTTCTTCATGCCCGTCATCTCAGACTCGATCCTCTCTGCCATCTTCTCTTTCGAGAATTCCGATACCACTCTCTCCCTGCCCCATTTGCCCATCTCCTTGAGCCTTTCCTCGCCCTCGCCGTCTTCTATCGCAATGCGCATCACCTCTGTCCATTCAGGTACCTTGCTTACGTCCCTCAACCACCCCGTCTGCCCACTGACTACCGTCTCTGTTGGGCCACCTTCATTTGCCGCTAATACGGGGGTCCCAGCTAACATGGCTTCGAGAGGCACGATGCCGAAGTGTTCGTTGCGTGGAGTGTAGACCAGAAGCCGAGAAGTAGATAACAGAGTCGACTTGAAAGCGTTCGGCACCGAATGTAGGAAGAGTACGGCGATGCCGTCGGGTATGGCTTGCGCTGTAATGATAGTCTTCGCCGTCGCGTGTAGCAGATGTAATGAGTCTGCAAGCTCGCAAAGCTCCGTGTACGTAGATACGTTCTCAGGAACCCGGGGATCATAGCCTCCAGCAATAACGAGTCGCGTGTCCTTCCGCTCGCCTGGAGACAACCCCGCGTATGCCTTGATCGCCAATGCGACGTCTTTCTTCTTCTCAAACCGGTTGATGCTTAGCAGAACCTTCTTCTTTCCCCATAACGGCTTGATTTCCTCAACTCCGTCTCCTGCACTTATGTCCACACATGGATATATCACCCCCGGCTCTCGGTGTTTGAGGCCTGGAAAGGCTTCACCGAACACACTCTTCGTGAACTTGCTGTTGACAACAATAGTGTCGCTGCAGCCTGTGCTCCAACTCTCCAGCCAATCGAAGGGCCCCCGGTATAAAGTCTTCAGTACGCCACCCTTCTTTGCGAGCAGTTTGTCTGGGAAGTGGCAGTAGAATATAATGCGCACATTCGGTTGGAAGAATCGGAGGAGGGGTATCCCAGCGCTGAGTTGGTCGATGAAGAAGGACGCAGGCTTGAGCTTCGTCAACTCTCCTGATAGCGTGATAGCTATGATAAGGTGCATCTGGCGAAGGATGGCGCAAAGGATGGCAAAGCGACCGAGGAAGGTGGATGGTACGATAGAATTTCCGCGCACTCGAACATCAAGGGTTCCTTTTGGCAGCACTCAGCTACCTTTTCAAACTATGAGCGGAGGGAGGGTGTGAGGCAACGAGGGTGGCTCACCATCGCGGGCTTCATCGAAGCAGTGGGTTGGGTCGCAATACGAGGTGAATATGGTGACTTTGTGTCCGCGATTCTGAAGGCCTACAGCAGCATCTATGACCAGGCGCTCAGCGCCACCAATGCCCAGGTCTGGATGGAAGAAGACAATATTCTGAGGTTGCGTGGGCATTTTGGTGTATGTGTCGTGAAGAATGCTTGTGTGGACGTGTTCTGAAGGGTGGTGGGCTACTCAAACACGACCTTGCCAAATACGGATTAGTCCTATATTCGAGAGATGACCTCGAACATGCTGCACATGATGAGCCATCAACCCACCCTCATTCACGCCGCAACCGATATACGTCCGGTTCCTGTTGGGTTTTTTACCCTGGATTGTTGCATTTACGGTGAAAGCTGTCGAAATCTCTGGGCCGGTTGTATAAGATAAACACCAATATGTGGGTCGGGAGGCAACCACACCGCGTCTCCATTCCCTAAACACCGACGACAAACGACCAAACCCCAAAATCATGGGGCAAGGCTTCTCTCTCACCACGCTTTCGGCGGGTTCGGCAGGCATCGATGTGCCCGAGCTCGCTGATTTGCTATATGAGAGGAATCTCGGCACAGCCCGGTTCATGAAGACGGTGAGAGCACGGCATAAGGATGGGCTTGTGGTTGCGAGAGTGGTCATGAAACCGTATGCTCAGTTGAATCTCGACATCTATGTCAAAAGACTACTCAGTGAGTTGATAACACGATGTTTTATTAACTTCGTCCTAACTATCTGCAAGATGAACGACGGCTACTTGCAGATGTCCCTAACGCTTTGGCCTACCATCGTATAATCGAGACCGGGGTTGGAGGATTCCTGGTCCGTCAATACATACACAGTTCATTGTATGATCGGTTAAGGTAAGTTTTCATGTTTGAATATTGCCTCTTATGGTGTTTTGATCAGGAGCAGTACCCGTCCTTTCCTCGAAGAGATCGAGAAGAAGTGGCTTTCTTTCCAGCTTCTCTGTGCTGTTCGAGATTGTCACGCCCGTAACATCTACCACGGTGACATAAAAACGGAGAATGTGCTCGTCACCTCGTGGAATTGGCTGTACCTCACGGATTTCTCATCGTCTTACAAACCTGCCTATCTTCCCGAAGACAACCCAGCAGACTTTTCCTTCTACTTCGACATGTCCGGGCGTCGAACTTGCTATCTAGCACCTGAACGATTTTTGACACCTGGAGTCCAGCCCGAAGGAGAGCAGTCAGTAACCTGGGCAATGGACATGTTCAGCGTAGGATGTGTCATCGCAGAGCTGTTCCTAGAAGCACCAATCTTCTCTTTGAGTCAACTCTTCAAGTACCGACAGCACGAATACAACCCTGCACAGTCCCATCTGAGCAAGATCCAGGATCCCCACATTCGAGATCTTGTCACTCATATGATTCAACTGGATCCAAACTCGAGACTGTCTGCTGAAGACTACCTCGAGTACTGGCAGGATAAAGCGTTTCCCCGCTACTTCTACGGCTTCCTTCAACAGTACATGCATTCCATCACAGACCCTTCTTCCGGCCGCAAACCAGTGACGACTGGAGCCGAGCATGTGGGAGAGCCGGATGATCGGATAGAGCAGATATATGGTGACTTTGATAAGATCTCCCATTTGCTGTCCAGTAATGACGGTAGTGAGCCAACAAAGCCACAACATTCACCACCAAAGCCGGACGCCAACCTTTTCCCGCTATGCATAGACATTCCAAATTATCAACATCAAGCTTCCGCCACGTCAAGTCTCGCCATCGATGATGGCAATCTCATCTTTCTCACCATCGTCGTGTCATGTATCCGAGGAACAGCCAGAGCGTCTGCTCGACTTCGAGGATTCGAGCTTCTTTTGGCTTTTGCGGAACGATTGACCGACGAAGCGAAACTGGATCGAGTTGTTCCATATATTGCACAGCTGTTGACTGACGCATCCGACCAAGTCAAGATTGGAGCGTTGCGAACTATGACTCAAGTGCTCGCCATGGTACATGTTGTGTCTCCCATTAACGCGTACATCTTCCCGGAATACGTACTCCCGCGACTTGAACCATATCTACCAGATTCCGCGTCGCCCCCATGTGCACTCGTTCGCATGCATTACGCATGGTGCATTGGTACGCTGGCTACAACAGCCGCGAGATATCTAGACATGATACAAGCCCTCCGTGCTGAGGGTTCTCTACCAACAACGGATCCCGAAGCAGAAGACGATTTGACATCCTCCGCACATCGCAATCAGTTTGACTCAGACCGCGCGAATCTGTTAGGAGCCTTCCAAAAGCATACCCGGGCCCTCCTCACCGACTCCGAGGCGTCTGTTCGCCGCGCAATGCTCCGATCTGTGTCGGAGCTGTGTGTGTTCTTTGGTAGTCCTGGTGCGAACGATGTTGTTCTGAGCCATCTCAACACCTATCTGAACGATCCTGATTGGATGCTGAAATGCGCCTTCTTCGATGCCATTGTCGGGGTTGCAGTGTTTGTGGGTGGCGCGAGCTTGGAAGGATATATCCTTCCATTGATGGTACAAGCTCTCACAGATCCAGAAGAATTCGTCGTTGAAAAGGTTGTTCGAGCTTTCTCCTCGATTGCGGAACTTGGACTATTCCAGAGATCGAAAACTTGGGAGTTGGTCGATATTGTTGCTAGATTGACAATGCATCCAAACCTTTGGATTCGGGAGGCAGCGGCTCAGTTCATCTCCGCTGCATCAAAATATCTGTCTGTGGCAGATCGACACAGCATACTGATCAATCTGATCAAGCCATACCTGAAGGTGGTACCCTCGGACTTCTCTGAGCTACGAATACTGGATTCTCTGAAAAAGCCACTGTCGAGGCTGATCACGGACATGGCCTCAAACTGGGCAGTGCAGGCGCAGAAGGGGCTGTTCTGGGGACCTGCCAAACAGCAGCAGACATTCTCTTTTGGGACATCGGACGAAACCCTCCCGACAATATCGGGGCGAGAGTTGGATCCCAAAATATTGCAGAGAATTCCAAAGAATGACGAGGATGACCAGTGGATCCGGAAACTACGCAATGCCGGTATGACTCCCGAGGACGATTTCAAACTTGTCGCACTTCGCGAATTCATCTGGAGAGTAACCCGCCGCCGTCGATCAGACAGTGGTAACTCGAGACCGTCGAGATTCAATAACATTGTTGCCCTCAAAGATCTCAGCATTATTCCGCACACCGTTACTTTTGAGAGCAATGCGCGACAAGTAGTTGAGCA